TGAAACACCAGAGGACTCACACAGGAGAGAAACCCTTTGAATGTCCTATCTGTGGGAAAAGTTTTAGTCGCAGTTCTCACCTGGTGATACACCAGAGGACTCACACAGGAGAGAAACCCTTTGAATGTCCTATTTGTGGGAAAAGTTTTAGTGATAATTCCAGCCTGGTGAAACATCAGAGGACTCACACAGGAGAAAAACACTTTGAATGTTCTGACTGTGGGAAAAGATACAGTCAGAATTCCTACCTGGTAATACATCAGAGGATTCACACAGGGGAGAAACCCTTTGAATGTCCTGACTGTGGAAAAAGGTTCAGTCAGAATTCCACCCTGGTAGTGCACCAGAGGACTCACACAGGAGAGAAACCCTTTGAATGTCCTGACTGTAGAAAAAGTTTCAGTCAAAATTCTCACCTTATGAGACACCAGAGGATCCACATAGGAGAGAAACCTTTGAATGTCCTGACTGTAGGAAAGGTTTCAGTTAGAATTCCTTCCTAGTGATACACCAGAGGATTCACACCATGGAGAAATCTTTGAAATGTCCAGTCTGTGCACATTACTTCCAGCATCAATTATCTCTTGTTGCACACAAGAAAATACACATGAGACAAAAGTTGAAGAGTTTAGAGAAGTGTTGAATTTCATTTGTGATCTCCCATTGAAAGTGTAGGTAAGAAATTGATTGTTTGAATTTTGGCCTGATTCATTTCACTCAAACATTTCTCTGGATTAAATTTGTAGGTGGAGAGAAAAGAAAAGTGGAAAATGGCCTGACTGGCACCCTACCAGGCCTCATACCTTCCTCCTCACCTTTGGAAGATCTCTAATCCTCATGTTGGGGAGGGAGGGAAGGAAGGATACGCATCCTTGGGCCTCATGGCTGCATCCTGGAAGGAACCACATTTTCAGTGGGCCCTGGATTCGTCCCTGGGCCATGCGATGGACTTCGGGAAATGGCTGCCATTTTGCCCCACTGTCCAGACTGATAATACAGAAGAGGGACAAACCTCCTTGTTTTGCTTCCTTAACATGAGGGCAAAAATGGCAAAAGCCATTTTTGAGGCCAAAAATTGCCTCAGACTGTGAGATGAGCAGCGATTAAGTTTAACAATAAGTGAATTTAATAATAAAAAGATAAGAGGAGAGGAGGAGAGGAGAGTCTGAAACGGTGGCTGCTGCTTCTGGTTGTGGACCCTTGTCGGGTGGCAGTCTCTTTTCAGGAGGGACCAGGGGCAACTGGCCGACACCAATTATGATCTTCCGGTATCCATCTTCCCATTTGATAGTAGGGGTCCATTTATCAAGCCAAGCAAGTCCCAACAGGATAGATTTTGACATTTTTGGAGCCACTACAAATCGTATAAGTTCAGAATGCCTTCCCATTTCTAATCTGATCGACTGTGTCATTTGGGTGGCTGGGACTCCTCCAATTATTTGTTCCATCTGTCTGTTCAAACTTGATTGGGCGTTTTAGGGCTTTAGTTTTTATCCCTAATTGCTCAACAATAGGGAGCCCAATAAGGCATCTGGAACACCGTGTATCTGTTACTGCTTCTAACTCCCCAGCCCTCCCCAGTTTCAGGCACCACCAACTTCACTTTAACTGTAAAAGGGGGAATGGCAGCACTCACCATGGGGGTCCTTTTCCTCACTTGCCTTTTCGGGAAGGGTTTCTTTGGCCGGAGATTCCTCGCTCTCTTCTGTGGGAAGGGGAACCTCTACAGTGTGTCTGGCAAACTGGCTGGTGTCTGGAGGCTTCTGTGGAGCTCTTCTGCCTCTGGCAGCTGTACTGGGCCTTGGTTGTGGAACCAGTGCAGGAGCCTGATATTCGGCTGCCTGATGACCAGCCTGGCCACATTGATAGCACTTTATTATCCTCGTAGATTGGGTAGGAGAAGCTTCAGCAGGTTTCGTTAGAGAGCGTCTGACCAAAGTTCTTATAGAAGGGCCCTCAGAGGGAGATTTTTGGTGTGGTTCAGGGGTCACCAACCTTTTAGACCTCAGGGACCACCAAACTCATAATTTTAAATCCCGAGGACTACTAATAAATATATATAAATTAATTTTGAGCCCCAACCCCCTCTTGCCTTGGAGATGTCCTCTCCCAGCCTTTGAAATTGGTTCCAAAGGCAGCGAGGAAGCCACAGGGGGCTGCTGCCAGCCACGTTTGAATGTCGCTCCTCTAACTTGGAGATTGGAGAACAAATGCTACTCGCATTTGCACGGCATTAGCGAAGGGGTGGGGGTGAGGGGAAAGGACCCGCACGTCGAGGAGGTTGAGCAGCTGCCAGCGATGCCCTCAAGGGAAGATGTTGAAAGGGGGAGGCTCAAACCCCCCCACCCCCCCCAAAGCTTCTCTTCCTCCTCAACAGAAGCACTCAAGCGTAAAACCCTCACCACCCCTCTGGCCCCTGATAATCCTCCTCCTTCCTGCTAAGCGTGTGAGTGCTTCTGGTGAGGAGGAAGAGAAGCTCCTGAGGACAGGGGCGTGGGAGATTGCGGCATTGGAGCTCTTCCCGGGTGTTTCCTGGCCTGTGAGGGGACGGTGCGATCTCTTGCGCCTCCCCCAGGAGCTTCTCTTCCTCCTCACCAGAAGCGCTCACACGCAAAGTGCTCACTGCCCCTCTGGCCCCCAACAAGCCCTCTCCTTCCCGCTAAGCGTGTGAGCGCTTCTGGCGAGGAGGAAGAGGGGGTCGAGCCTCCCCCTTGCAACATCTTCACCTGAGGGCAGCTGCTTCCTGCGCCTCAGGAGGTCTGTGCTCTTCCCGCTGCTGCTCAGCCGCCTCGGTGTGCTGAGGCAGGAGGCAGCAGCCACAACACGGGAGACTGCAAGATTGCCCCTCCTCCGTGCTTCAGCATGCTGCGGCCCACCAAAATTTTCTCATGGCCCACCAGTGGGCCGCGGCCCACCGGTTGGCGACCACTGGTGTGGGTGATTTCTCTATCCAGCCTAATGGACATGGCATACCAATCTTGCAGTTGCTCTGGTATTCCTCTGATGCTGCAGGCATCATTCATGAGGTTGCTTGCGACCCGTCTAAAGTTGATTATCTTGCTTCATTTCCATTATTTTGTCTTCACTCTCACCTATTCTGTCAGGGTTTTCAAATCTGGCCCTGAGCAGCTCAACAGATGCGTCAGCATCATTTAGTTTGGGCGCGTCCTCATAGTGTAGCTGGGCTACCCAAGTGAAAGCATCCCCCTCATTCATCCCATCTGTAATTGCGGAAATTAGGTCATGATCTGTTGCATGTTGGTTTCCAAATTGATCTATATGTAACCAGATTCGGCTGAAAAAGTAAGCAAGTCTTTCAGGTTTTCTGTCAAAAATTGCTCGGAATCTTAGTGTGTCTGGCCTGGTTGGTGGGGGTGGGGAATCACCATGGCGACCGCTGGCTGCGCTGGAAATTGTTGTGCCAGTGCGGACTGCAGGAGGGGCCCCTGCAGGGGTACTTCGAGAGGCAGCTGAGCTGGAATTTGATGTGCCTCTGTTGCAGGCTGCAGGAGGGTCCCCTGCAGGGGTACTCCGAGGGGTGGCTGAATTGGAATCTCTTGAATAGGCTGTGGAGGGGGAGGAATTGGGGTTTGTAATGTGCCCATACCAAATGCTTGGCCCTGCCGTGCTTAGCTGATTCTTCGGCCACCTCTAGCCGACGCCACGCTGGTTCCACTGTCAGGTCTAAGACTAGGGAAAGTGAACGCAGGCTGAGTTAAGGCCCAGCTCAACTGGAGAGGTTGTTGCTGTGAGAAATAACTTCCCACTTCAAGTTGCTGAAATGGCTCTGGGAGTTCTGGCAATGATTGGCTACGGGATTGAGGCAACAGGTTCCAACTCCCGTTGTCTGATTCAAAAGCCCCCACGCTTCTCCACTCTGGCTCGGGGCCCGACCTCACAGGGCTGGAGTAGGAAAGGTGTTCAGGCCTCTTCTCCTTTGGTCCTATCTCTGGATTCAGCTCAATCTGGCAGCTTTTCCAGGAATCCGTTTCTTTGGGCCAAGGGCCTAGCCGCCATCTTTCCTCTGCAGCTTCAACTGCTTGCACAGATTTTTCAGAAGGAGGACATGGGGTTTCAATCAGTCCTCCGGTAGCCATTCCCTCTGCTCCTTCTGTAGATTCCTCCTTTACTTCCATCTTCACTGAGCCTTCGCACTACTTCAGCTTTGGGTCAGTGCTGGGGCTCAGCAACCCGGACAGCCCCCTTTCAGGCTATTCAGAGATTTGGGATAATGTCAGCGTTCCAGCAAACCTCCACTCCAACCAATAACTCCAAGACAGACATCTTCTCAAAAGTTCTTTTTATTTGGGATAGTAAACTGGCACAACTGGGGAATCCTGAATCTGAAAGTTCTGGGCTTCCTTGCAATAAGTAAAAACTACAAATCCATCCCCTTTACCCATCATCACATCACATGCCCAATCACCATCCATCCCAACTTGAGACTTCCTCTCACTTATGCGCAAAATAACATGACCTTGAATTAGAAAAAGAATGTTGTTATGTCTAACTGCATACACTCCCAAGAAATTATCCCCTTCTACTTTCCCGGGCTCTAAATGTGGCAGTGTGGGATCATCTGGTCTCAATATGGCTGACATTCTTCTCTCTGCTTCCGGAGTTCAAACACCATCTCCTTTGTCTTGCTGGTGTTTAGATGCAAGTTGTTTTCTGAGCACCATAACTTCTGGATTTCTTCCTTGTCCCCCTCCTGTAATAAGACCCAGCACGGTGGTATCATAAGCCCACTGGCCCTGCACACTATGAAACTGGTGGCTGCAATTTTCTGCTGGTGGGAAGATTTAAAAAGTCTCAAGTTAAGTTGGATTCTTTGGAAATGGCTTCCCTCCAGATTTTGTGGGTGTTCCGTCACTGGAGGATTCTGAATGAGTTGAAGCTTCTGTCCCAATCTCCTGCTTATTTCCGAGAAATGGCTGCGCAGTCTCTTTTTAAAAGCCCCCCAGTAATGGAGCACCAACAATTCCTGAGGGCAAACTGTTCCACTCGTTAATTGTTCTCACTGTTAGGAAGTTTCCCCTAACAGGAAGTTCTAGGTTGCTTCTCTCCTTGATTAGTTCCATCCATGGCTTCTTGTCTTCTGGTGCTTTGGAAAATAAGTTGACGACACCCTCTTCTTTATGCCAACTCAAATATTGGAACACTGTTCAACTGTTCAATGTTGGGTTTTTTTTATTTCCATGTCTTGCCAATAAGTATGGTATTTCCTGTCCCATCCATGTATTAACCAAGTTAGATTGTGCTTAATCCAGCACTTTCTAAAAAAAATAGCTATTGAGGACCTTTTGGCAACCTTGGTTGCACAGGTAGTCCTCACTTACCACTTCTTCCCTGAGACTTCAAAGTTATTATGGCACAGTAGAAGCAGACATGCCCCTGATCTATAAAATTTGTAGTAATCCTAGCACTTGTTCAGTGACTGCACGTTTGTTTTTTTTCATTGTAATATATAATATTTATATTATGTAATATAATTTTTTATTTTTTCATATCATTTCTGTCATTTTATAAACAATTAAAGTTCCACTTTTCTTTGAATCTTATAGACAAAGAAGATGGCAAAAGGAGCACTTGGGACAACTATAAATAACAAGCGACATTGAAAAGGGGAAAAAAATCAAGCCAGAAATCAAACTATTTTCCATTTCTTTCAGAAAACCACACAATTCTTCTCCACCTCCAGGAGATATTAAACAAAGGAGAGAAAATCAAGAACAATTTCAAGTTGGAATGGGCAGATTATGCAGAACTCAAGGATATATTATATGAAAAGTCAAAGGAGATTATATTTCATTTAGCAAAAAGAGAAATACCTGGAAGTCAGTGGGGAGGAAAAGGTCAATAGTAAAGCCACGTAGAGCAGACAGGAGATAAACCATTTGAATGTCTTGACTATGAGAAAAATTTCAGTCACAATTCCAGTCTTATGTAATTCTGTTACATAAGTAGATCGAATCCAGGGAGAAACAGTGGGAATGTTTGGTTGTGGAAAAAACTTCATTAGAAATTTCCATCTCACGAGACACCAGAGAACTCACACGGAAGGGAAACCTTTTGAATGTCCTGACTGTGGGAAAACTTTCCGTTGTAATTCCAACTTGGTGATATACAAAGGAGAAAAATCCTTTCACCGTCCTGACTGTGGGAGAATTCCAGCCTGGTAATACATCAGAGGAATCTCTCCATGGAGAAACCCTATGAATGTCAAGAATGTGGGAAAGGTTTCATTAGAAATTCTCACCTCATCAGACACCAAAGGACTCACACAGGAGAGAAACCCTTTGAATGTCCTATCTGTGGGAAAAGTTTTAGTGATAATTCCAGCTTGGTGAGACACCAGAGGACTCACACAGGAGAGAGACCCTTTGGATGTCCTATCTGTGAGAAAAGTTTTAGTTATAATTCCAGCCTGGTGAAACACCAGAGGACTCACACAGGAGAGAAACCCTTTGAATGT